GCACTTGGGCTGTTTCCAGATCTTAGCTATTGTAAATTGCATTGCTATGAACATAGGGGTGCATAAGTTCTTTGTGATTGGTTTTGGGGCTCCTTAGGATATATTCCTAGAAGTGGGATCACTGGGTCAAATGGCAGGTCAATTTTTAATCTTTTGAGGAAACTCCATACTGCTTTCCATAGTGGCTGCCCCAGTCTGTGGTCCAGCCAGCAGTGTAGTAGGGGGCCCTTAACACTTTTTCTTTAACTTGAGACAGATTAGAGGCTTGGTGGGGACACCATCAAGAGAACATACACATTCTGTACAAAATTTAGAATTCATTATAGGCATCCCTCAATACGAGTTCAAGAAACCACCATGTTGCAAGTACCATTTTTAAAATCTTTTTAAGCATGCTGCATCTGGGAAAATTTTGCTGTTTTAGCTCTCTGTTGCTGCGAAATAAATTACCCCAAGTTTGGCAGCTTAAAAAAGCAAGCATTTGTTATCGCAAGTCTCTGCGTTCAGGAGTCTGGGCGCTGCTTAGCTCCCCGTCTGCCTCAGGACCTCTCCAGGCTGCCTTTCAGGTGTTGGCTGGGATGAGGTCTCCTCAGAGGCTTCACCCACTTCCAGGCTCCCTCAATTGTCAGAAAAGTTCATCTCTAAGCAGCTGTGGGACTGAAGTCCCTGCTTTCTTTTCTTTTCTTTTTTTTTTTTTAATATATCTTTATTGATTTCAGAGAGAGGAGGGGAGAGGGAGAGAGAGAGTTGAAACAATGATGAGAGAGTCATTGATCGGCTGCTTCCTGCTCGCCCCCAGCTGGGGACCGAGCCCGCAACCCGGGCCTGTGCCCTGACGNAACATCAGTGATGAGAGAGTCATTGATCGGCTGCCTCCTGCTCGCCCCCAGCTGGGGACGGAGCCCGCAACCCGGGCCTGTGCCCCGACCGGGAATCGAATCGCAATCTCCTGGATCCTACGTCAATGCTCAACTGCCGCGCCACGCCTGGCCGGGCTAGGAATAACCCTTTAGCATTTTTATATTTTCTTCAATTTTGTCTTACTGAAATACCAAACACACCTAATTTACCATGAGATTGTATAAATGCATTTTTAAAAGAAATATTATGTAACAGTTTTATCCTGCTCTCTCTCTTTTTAAACCTAACATTTATCATAAGCTTTCCCCATGTCATTAATTAATCTTTGGAGACACCATATTGAAAGGGTTCCTAATTTTCCATTGTATAAATATATTACAATCTAACCATACTCCTATTTTTAAACACTTAGGTATTTCTTTAGTAAGTTTTTATTAATAAGTAATACTGCAGTAAGTGTCCTTGCACACAAATCTATATTTAATTATCTATTTTTTCTCTTAGGATAGATTTCTAGAATGGAAATTACTGCTCAAAGAGTATAAACTTTTAGCCCACCCTTTAAACTTTGATTCTCTTAGACCCACTTTGACCTGCTTTCCCTTATGACCTTTCTGTGTTTTGTTCATACTTCAAATATAAAATTCATCATAAAGTGTTATAAATTTTTATCTGTTTCTCTCTCAATTAGAAAATATATTTCCTGAAGGCAAGAGCTGTGTCTTCTGATTTCTCATATACTTACAATCAGTATAGTATCTGGCATGGTTCAATGAGTTATTCTTATTTATTTTAGCATTTCAGAAAATTCAAAAATATTCATAAATATAACGATATATGTGTTTACATTTATGTTTCTTCTTTTCTCTCTAACAGGATGGTATTTCTGGTGCAATTAATCAGTTTCAAAACACTGTGTTATCAGTTCCCAATCTCGTGCCTGACCCATATTTTGATGCTTTCACCAGCCCTTACATTAACAACAAACTTGAAGAAAAAACGTGTGGATTCGGTCCAAGCTTATCAGCAGTATTTGAAGATGATAAGAACTTTCACACAATTATCTTTCAAATAAAGGTATATTTACTTTTACTGAAACTAATATTTAAGAAATTGAGCAGTATATTTTCTTCCTTTCTTATTTTTAAATTGAATGCTACTTAATCTCTAAATGGTAAACTGGTTTTCTAAAAAGTCCTGGTAGAGCAGAGCACTGACAACAGGAAGAGGAATTAAAAGTACAAGATATCTGAGAGGGCAGCACTTCTGGGGTAGAAAATAAGGTTAAAAAGGAAGATGAAGCATTATTTGAACATTGGGTGATGCAGGGGAAGTGAAACAACTGGTGAAAATTTATGGTCCTGCAAGACAAAAAAGAACCAATTGATCCCCCACCACCAAAAAATAAATAATATACCCATTGCTTCACTGACAGAATACCCTTGAATTATAAGTCTTGTAAATCACCCTAAACCTATGTGCTGAGAAAATTAAGATATACTGAATACATAAAAACTACCATAAGGAGAAAGCAGAAAGTGAAGATTAAAACAGCTGGTGAATATTTCTTCCCTTCCCTCCTGAAATCAGGAAACAAAAGCTACACTGCAAACTGAAGTAAATATCCAGAAACGTTTGAATATGTGTAAAATCACATAGAATCCAAAATTCAGAATTCAAAATAGAAATGGGGGAGGGCAGACAGGATCATCTCAGAAATGAAGATTAAATCGCATGGTGCCAGAGGAGAATAAATTCAAATGGAAATTGACTAGTCAGAGAAAAATGGTAGGAAAAATAAGAAAGACAGGAAAAGAACCAAGGGAATGAAAGTAAGCTGGAGATATATGTAAAAAAAACTAGAGAGAAAATAACTGCGATAAAAGACAAGCAAAGGAGAAATAACAAACAAAAAAATGGAGTCTCTGAAGGAGAAAAACGAAGCAAAGGGTAGAAAACACATAACTATAACCAAGAAGAAAAAACCTGAATTGATATATAGAAAGGGCCTACAGAGTAAATTGGAAAATTGTCCCACAACAATCAACTCTGATTATATCTTCTTAAAACTATTAGCTTTTAAAACTAAAGAAAAATTCCTTCAAATATCAAAATGACCAAATAACTGACAGAAGTAAGAGAATTAGACCCAAATCACACTTCTGAAAACGACATATAAACAAGGCAATAATGGAAAAGCATTTAAAAATAAAATCAAGGAAATAAAAAGTGTGAATCAAGGACGTTAACCAAGCTAGGTCCTCAAGTCTCAAGGCTATAAAAGAATACAGGGCATTTAAAAATATAAGGACCTAAGGAATTGGATACTGATCAGGAGTTTTTCTGGAAGATGATAAATTTCTTCCAATCAAAAGATAACTTTGGCAGAAACACTGATCTTCCTGTTTCTGGTTCCACGTATAAAGAGCTTGGAAGTCTCCAGTCCTAACAACAAGCAAAAATCTGAACAGACTGAGAAATCAACAGCTCTTTTTAAATCAGTAGAGAGGTGAAGACGTAGGGCAAACCACAGTCCCAAAGACTGAGGAGACAGGTGGTTACAGGGAGACATGGCTTCTGAGAACAGAGAGCCATGAGCAGAAACCACCAGGGGAACCAGTGTTCAGGCAGGAAGACCTCCACTGCAACTGATGAAACGCTGGAAACTTAGTATGGACAACTCTGAGAGTCAAAATTCCAGGGGACCCAGTCATGAGGGGTTGGGGGTGCATAATATTGTCAGGTTTACTTCCAAGAGCTCAACCAGTAAATACTGGAGAAAAATCCCTTCATGGTTCCAGCAGAGAGAGGGGAAAAGAACCATTTGAAATATGTCAGAGCACTGTTCTTTTTTTAAAAAAATATATGTCTATTTTGATTTCAGAAAGAGGAAGGGAGAGGAGAGAGAGAGAAACATCAATAATGAGAGTCATTGATCGGCTGCCTCCTGCACGCCCCCGACTGGGGATCGAGCCCGCAACCCTGGCATGTGCCCCAACGGGGAATCGAACCTCGATCTCCTGGATCCTAGGTGGATGCTCAACCTCTGAGCCACACCGGCTGCGCTAAAAAATTAAATCTTAATATAAAAAACACTAATGGTGAATATTTAAAACNGAACCTCGATCTCCTGGATCCTAGGTGGATGCTCAACCTCTGAGCCACACTGGCCGCGCTAAAAAATTAAATCTTAATATAAAAAATACTAATGGTGAATATTTAATATGTTTAATTGTAGATCTATCTAAGGCTAAAACAGAAGTAGAGACAAAGATGGGAAACTAATATGTAAATGTTGGATGTTCTAATGAAATAGGAATAATTTAACTTTAAAAACAAAGAAGGAAGAGGAGGAAAGTAGAATACATTTATTGATTGCTTTTGAGATATAAGTGGGAATTAAAGAATACCAGTAAAAACCAGCAAATCAGATGATGACAGGTTAATAAGGGAATGGGTGACTGATGGTGTTAAAAAAATTGCCACATAGAGAAATAAAGAAACACAAAATAACCATAAAACACTTAAAAATACTATAACCAAGTTGAGACCAAATATATCAATAATACAGTGAACTGTGAATATGTCCAACTCACCTATTAAAAGAAAAAGATTTTAAATTTAGCTCGCAAGGCAAGACAAATAATATATGTTGTATTTAAGAGAGGCAAAGGAAACAAAGTGACTCAGAAAGGCTAAAAATGAAGGGGTGCTCAGTGGTGTAGAGGCGAATGTAAGCAATAAGAAAGCAGACTTCTGAGCCTGTGAGTCAGGGGTTATAAATGTCTATGCTCCCAATAGCACAGGAAACACGTTCATCATGCAGGAGATGCAATAAAACAAACGGAGCATAAATAGAGACACCATGAAAGCCATCATAGAAATGGACAGGAATCTCCAATGCATACTAAAACGAGTGTGCGAAAGAATGATGAAAAACTGAATGTCTCAGAGTACCTCTGCATAAGATGTTCATTGATTTTAAGGGGGAAATAGTAAGTGTGCAGGGATAAAGACTGACAGACAGCACCTTAACCAACATGCTGACGTCACCCAGCACTGGAACAGATGGACGTTGTATGTCTTCTGACATGATACTGAGAACACCCATCACCTCTGTGGTGTTACTGCCAAAATGTGCAACTGAGTCTTAGCACTGGGAAGTTCAGAACACACATACCAATGAGATACATTCCTCAAAAATTAAAGACAAATAAAGATTGAGGAATTGTTCCAGATGAAAGGAAACCAGAAGATATGACAAGATGATATACATGATCCTGGATGGGATAGTGACCCAGAAAATATTTTTTTCTATGGAAGACGTTTTTTGGAACAAATAGCAAAATTTGTATAAGGTCTGTAACTAGATAATTGAATTCATATTTATGTTAATTTCCTGAATTTAGATTATTGTACTGTGGTTATGTAAGAAGACACCCTGCATTTAATAAATACACCTGAAATATTTAAGGGTAAAAGTCTCTCATCTCTTCAACTTTCTCCCAAATAGTTTCTAGTAAACTAATATACATATAGAGAGAATGGTAAAGCAAATATGATATGGAATTTTGGTGACACATATGTGGAATTCTTTGTAGTATTCCAACAACTTTATGTGAATCAGCAATTAAAGTTTCAAATCATATTCTGAACATGCTGCTGGAGCTTTTCATTTATGGGCCTCCCATTGTGTTTCTATCACCTGTGTCACCACATATCAGAGACACTATTAAGTCAACTCAAAGGAGATACACGTTTGACAGTTTCTACCTCTCAATGTTTAATGTAAAGAAATAAACAGAAAGAGTGTGGAAGAATAGATAAGAGCCTATTAAAAGGATATAAATGAACAAATAACTAAATGTGACCATATAGGGTGTGTGCTATTTTATGTAATTAAACTTTCTACTGCTAGCCATTCTCCGTAAAGTATGACTAGCCATGGATGTGCTGGGAATGAGCAGCTCCATTGATCATCTCTAGTTTTCCCTGGGACAAAATACAGTCATTTGCAAAAAATCTTGGTAGGGAAAAAAGGGAAGGCTATGGAGTGCAGCCAGGGAGACATGGACCAAGATTAATTGCCTTTCTTAAGTGTTGAACTTGATAATATGTATTGACACAGGTAATAAGGGACTGAAATGATAGGAAATTATTGTTTTGATTTTTAAGAAAATTTGTGGGGAAGGGGAGGTTGTAGCCAAGTTTAAGATAGGTGAAGGAAAGGGGAAATTCTGAGAGACATTTTGGAATAAGAGACTTGCCACTACAGAGGATTTGATGTTAAGATGAAGCAGTTCACCCTGTAGATGAGCTAAACACTATTGCCTTTGCTCAAAAACACTTCAAGTAAGACAAAATTTGCAATTTGAAAAAACGACATTGTTTCTTGTCATGTGATTATAAGTGATGTGTAAGTCCACCATGAAGCTAAAAAATTTACAAGTTTGCTTTCTTTCAATCATAAGGAACAATTCTTCAAAAGTCAGATTTGAAGATGTTTAAAATATATATTTTTATTGATTTCAGAGGGAGGAAGGGAGAGGGAGAGAGAGAGAGAAACATCAATGATGAGAGTCATTGATCGGCTGCCTCCTGCACGACCCCTGCTGGGAATTGATCCCGCAACCCGGGCATGTGCCCTGACCAGGGAATCGAACCTCGATCTCCTGGATCATAGGTCAATGGTCAACCACTGAGCTATGCTGACCAGGCTGAAGATTTTTTAAAATTTTAATTTTGTAAGAGAATTTTTAACTGCTCCTTGACATCAAGGATGGCATCTTCCCTTACTTATGGATCCCCAGGTCAAAGCATATTGTTGGACACGGAGAAGGCATTTGTGTTTGTTTATTTGTTTGTTTAGTTACATTGAATTGGATTCTGCTCAGGAAAAATATAATTTCACTTGTCTGTTTATTTGTAACATTCAGGAAACCATAAAGGCAGCGTTTGAATCTGCCCAATTATATGCAGCTACATTTGAAAAGTTCCAGTTGTTCTTCAAGGAAAATGAAAGTCTTGATTTAGAAGCTCTTAAACTTCAGGAACCTGGTAACTTTTCTAATTTTCCTTACTAATTATTTTTGATAGGGATATTGAGGTTTGTAGTCTTCTAGTTTGGTTTGATGGTGAGTTGTGAAAGTAATGGTAGCCCGAAAGAGTTGGCCTGACAAAAGACAAGAGTTTTTTCATTTCTAGGTTATTTTCTGTAGAATTACTCTTTTCTTTAGCCTTATTCAGTGTTACTGTTTTATTTCAGAATATTACGGGAAGCATTTCCTCATAATGACTTCATCTTTCAGTGTGAAGTTGTACCAGTGATAGGACTATATAGCTTGCATATGGGAAGGAGTCGAAAGGAATGTTTACATCTACAAATTCCTTTAAATCATGTTTACATGAGTGTGTTTCTAGCTCATAAATTGAAGCTCCTCTTTTTAAAAATGTGTCTTTATCGATTTCAGAGAGAGGAAGGGAGAGGGAGAGATAGAAATAACAGTGATGAGAGAGTCATTGATCGGCTGCCTCCTGCATGCTCCCTGCTGGGGATCGAGCCCGCAACCCGGGCATGTGCCCTGACTAAAATCGAACCTTGATCTCCTGGATCATAGGTTGATGCTCAACCACTGAACCATGCCGGCCGGTCTCAAGTTGCTCTTTATTTCTGTGGTCATATCACAACCTGGTGGGTGTGAATGAACAACTCGTAGTGCTGAAATTAGACCCAAGGGGAAATGATTTTATTAGACTTCCTATCTTTTACAAAAGAAAACAATATACAATACCCAAGTGAAATTTCAGGCAAGGAAGTTCCCAGATGATTATGAAAATTAAGTTCATATTATTTATTGCTATTTAAAAATGCAAAGCATATCATTCATATTCTTTTTTTATTTCAATGGAAAAATTTTCCTTGGGTAAGGATTAACAATAAATAAATAAATAAATAAAATCAACAGAAACATATCCTCGGGTGAGGATTGGAAAAAAAGGACTCTGTTTAAATAATTTTGGAAATGCTAGACTAAGCAACATTATGCAGCTTTCCTTCCGAGAGGACTTCTCCAATTATTTGATATCCTTATTTTGTCAGTTCTAAGAAAACATATCAAAACCTGATGTGAGTAGGGTAGGTAATTGTCCCTTTTTCTATTATAAGGAAGCTGAAGCTCAGAAAGCTGAAGTAACTAACCCAAAGCCACGTATGGATTAAAGACTGACCCTGGGTCTTCACTTTGTCTGGTGTGTTCTTTATACTGTGTCCGACCCCCCTTTATTATAAAGGTGGGAATCAACACCCATTTTTCTTTGTGATGGTGGGGGCGTTTCAGGAGAACAGGATGCACTAAGGAGATCAGTCTGACTCAAATGGAGGAAATAATTGGAAATAAAGTTAGCTAAATTTGAGAGGGTGCAGGGTTTTGAAAGGCCAGCAGAGTAGCTCAGTACTGTGTGTGTATTAGGAAGAGCTGTGTTTGACAGATAGTGTGATGAAAGTGTATTCAAGGGTAACGGGGCTTCCACTGGTTTCAGGTGGACTGGGGAAGGGAGAAAACCGGGGCAGGGAGATCATCAAAACCCAGCCCGGCCGGGCATGGCTCAGCGGTTGAGCGTCGACCTAGGATCCAGGCGATCAGGGTTCGATTCCCGGTCAGGGCACATGCCCGGGTTGTGGGCTCAATCAATGACTCTCTCATCATTGATGTTTCTATCTCTCTCTCCCTCTCCTTTCCTCTCTCTGAAAATCAATAAAGATATATAAAACAAAAAACAAAAAAAACCCCCAGCTGCAGCACAGGGCAGATGCAGACTGACAAAGATGTGGGAGCAGGGCTGGTGGGGTAGGGGGCTAGTAAGAGGAATGGACATAACTATAGCTATGCTTGGTCTTTTGTGTCTCAAACTCTTATTGTTAATATCTTCAAAATGCTTTCCTTCGTGGTATCATGTAGGAGAACCCCTAGATTGAGCCCAATTTCAAACCAACCCAACTCTATAGAATCTAGTCCATTCCAGACTAGATTCTCTAATGCAATTATGCTATTTTCATTTGCTGTCTCTTAATAAGAGCCAGACACATATTTACGTATTTTAAAACATATTTAATTATTACATTCTTTTTTATTACAAGAGTAAAATTTAAGAACTATGAATTAATATTTTAAAGTTATACAAAGTAGCTTACATATGAATAACATAAATACATATATAAATTTATTAATACAATAATTTTAATATATTTCATGATGCTCCTTCAAAATCTAATATATTTTATGCTTTGTCTGAATTATTTTATGTAGATGTCAAATTCTTCAGTGAACAACTGGAAAAATATCACAAACAGCACAAGGACGCTATGGCTCTAAAACCCACCAGAAATGTAGGCTTGCTGCTCATTGACACGAAGCTGCTTAAAGAAAAACTAATTCCATCACCTTTGCGATGCTTGGAGGTAAGTATGAACTAGGAAAAAATTTAATTATGGCCTCTACAATTATTTTATGACTTTTCTACTGCAAATAAACTATCTTTGTTTTCTAGTATTGCAAATATTTTAAATTAACATCAGTCTACTGTGCAGTCTTGATTTCTAGGAAAAGTTCCATAGTCTCCTTCCTGTCCCAAGCACAGTCAGCTTTCAGATGAGGAAGGAGAGGGGACTGCAAGCCTCGGCTAGCCTCTCACTCTTAACGCCTTTTTCCTTTGTTGGGAGTATTTTAAGGCTTCCAAGCGTCCTAGTGGGAATGCCACTTCCGTCTAGGATCCTGAGACCGAGTTTTGGAGATCATTTCCTGATCTGAAACGGTCCCTATAGATCTGATTATATTTTGGTAATTGGCAAGCTGTCGCTCACGGGGTCAATCCAGCCTGCCGCCTNAGACCGAGTTTTGGAGATCATTTCCTGATCTGAAACGGTCCCTATAGATCTGATTATATTCTGGTAATTGGCAAGCTGTCGCTCACGGGGTCAATCCAGCCTGCTGCCCGTTTTGTACAGTTTATTAGAACACAGCCATGGCAGTGTGCTTCTGTGTGGCGTAGCTGTGGCTGCTTTCTCACCACCAGGGCAAAGGTGAGCAGTTGTAACAGACCGTATGTCCTGCAAATCTAAAACATCTCTACTATCTGGCCCTTTACAAAAAACCTCTGAGCCCTGTATCAAAGGCGGCGGACCCAAGGGCCAGTACCCAGTCTGTCACTGTCATTAGCTGTATGACACTGGGCTTTCTGCTCGAGCTTTGCGACTTCATCTGTTAAGGACAAAGTACAGAACTGGAGCAAATTCAATACCATTTCAACAGTTTGAGCTCTACTACTATATACTGAGCCAAAGAAAACTGGTCTCAAACCGGATTAAGCAATCAGAAAATGTATAGGCTATGCAGCTTAAAAAAAAAAAAAAAAAAAGCCACACAAAAAACAGGGTGAATGGGCATCGGAGAGGTTTGATCTAGTGACCCGGTGGTGTTACCAAGAACCCATTTCTTTTCATTGTCTTTCCTGGGCCTCCGGAGTGCCAGCTTCCTTAGGAGGCTAGCATGCCCTCACATTTGTGAATTGGTTGTGAAAAGCTCCGTAAGCTAATTATTTCCTTGGTTTTATGCACATAAACAGAAGGAAAGGGAGATTGGGGTTCTGAGCATACGTTTCTCTCAGCCTTAAACAGTGGTACTGGACCTCTGTGTCCAGCAGAATCAGCTAAGGTCAGGGGTCCGCCCTTATCCAGTCACATTGGCCCAAGGAAGCCAGCCTTGCGTTTGCCTAGTGATCCATCAGGCTCCACCTTTGTTTCTGAAGGAGAAACTGATCAATTTCCCGCAAGCCACATGGCTACCACCCAACAGAAGAGGGGTAGAACTGATGCTGGGGAGGACACCACAATGTCACTACATAGGGAAAAGTGTCAGAAAGGTTGTTAATAAGAGATTGGAGAATTTAAGCAAACTGTTAAATAAGCTGTGCAATCTAGTTTGTTCTGGAAATGATCTTCACAACTTGCCCTGCCTGTTGGTTTATCTAGCAGGGATTTAATGTGAAAAGAAGTCCCTTTACATATACACTGCTGCTTCCAATACTTGCTGATTTAACAGATGTTCAAGTAGGGTTGATCTAAAATATATAATAAAAATGCAAATATATTCAAGTAGTTATGATTTACATTTTCCTTTTCTTTCCTAGGTGCTAAATTATATGCTTCCTTGTCAAAGCAAGAAAAAAGTGGATGCCATTATCTCTGAGGCACAGGATGCAGAGTATAAACTTGAATTTGTTCCATCGACCACCATAGAATATGTTAACAGCTTAGTATTTCTTGATGAAATTCAGGAAAGGGTGAGTGGATTCCTACAACTGAAGAAGGGTCGTGGGCTCGATTCCCAGTCAAGGGCACATACCTGAGTTGCAGGTTCAATCCCCAGCCCTGGTCAGGGAGCGTGCAGAGGCAGCCAGTCGATGTGTCTCTCACATCAATGTTTCTCTCTCTCCTTCTCTCTTCCCCTCCCTTCCTGCCTCCCACTTTCTCTACAAATCAATGGGAAAAATATCCTGGGGTGAGGGTTAGCAAACAAATAAAAAAGGACAGGAGCTATGGACTAGTACAGCCTAGAGAAACCAGAAGGCCTTCCTCTTTCCATCTCTCTTCACTGCTCTTCTCTGGAACAGTGTTTCTCAAAGGGTGGTCCCCAGATCAGCAGCAGCAGCAACGGGGAACTTGTTAGAAGTCCATATTCCTCAGCCCCACCTTAGGATCAACAGTCTCTGCTTTAACAAGCTTTCCAAGGTGATTGGGATGCAAGCTAAAGGTTGAGAACCATTTCTCTGAAAGCCTCTCTCTGCACTTATATTCCCATGTTAAGGACCTGCTTTCTGTTTCCACATGAAAGCAAATGGCCTCTAAGCACAGCTACAGTCTAGCTCTTCTCACGCCCCAGAGAGAGGCCAGACTGATCTGGGGCTGCTGGCTCCCAGTTTGATGCTACTTGGTTCAGCTCGTGGCCAGGAGGCTGGATCAGGCTGTATGAACACAGCTGCTCCATCGATAACCATGTGGCAGAGTTGGGGGAAGGGGGTTCCCCCCAACATTGGAGAGTCCCTTGCCAGAAAATTAAGAAAGACACTGTCCACTGAAGGTAGGACATCAAAGTGAAGATGTTTAGCAGTCAGTCAGAGATAGTAAAAATATTTGTTAACGGATAGTTGGGAGGCTCACCACAGATCAGAGTTCTGAATCTGCGCAGGCAGAGGCATGGCTGGTCCACAGCTCGGGACTGTTCTGGGACAGTCACAGCTCAGCACGCGCGCCTGGGAGCTCTGATACTACAGCTGAGCATCCTCACTGCGCGTGGTGTTTCCGAAAAACCTTAAATATTGGCACTATTAAGAACAAGAGAGAAAGGGGAAATATAAACATTTATAAGAATAATGCTAACTGTGCTCAGCTCTGAGCAGCCTACCTCCTGGTCCCGATTACCTGTATTGTCACGATGACAGTAGTGACCACCCGACAGGCTTCAGCCAGTGTAATGCGCCCTTCCCGTGCTGGCTCCCCACGGTGGATGCTCGCGGGCACAGAGGCTCTCTCCTGGTAGACAGAACCTCCAGGGGACAGCAGGACTCAGGTATCTTTAACCAACAAGCAACCCCTGTTTCCATTCAGATAGAAACCATTGAAGAGGAAGCAAATGTGGTGGTGCAAATGTACAAGCTCATCGAACAGTATCAGGTTCCCACGCCGCCCGAAGACTTCGCTGTTTTTGCAACTATGAAGCCGTCCATTATTGCTGTGCGGAATGCCATCGATAAATCCGTGGGTGACAGAGACACAAGCATTAAGCAGTTTTGTGTGCATTTAGGTAAAGATCTTGAAGATCTAACCAATGAAGTGAATGAAATAAAGCTGCAAGCACAGGTAAGTTAAGGAAGAATTAAAAAAAAAAAAAAAAGTGTAAAGTTTGACAACTACATTTTAATTGAACCATTTAGGGAGTATATTTTATTTTAATCTGATTTAACTTTTGTTTTATATCCCTTTATTCTGACTGGTTAACAAGGTCTTCGAACTTCTATTTAAAATCAAAAGAGTTTCTGAACTCTCTTCAAGTACCAACTAAACTTCAGACCATTGCAAGCGAAGTATATATATAATATTGAATTTTCTTTCTCCTGGCCTTTATTTATTATTCTCAAACGAATGTTTCTACAACTTGCTAGCATATTTATAGCTATTGTCACAATGAGTTTTCTTAGCCACATATTAGAAAATTTCTATTTAGGAAGAGGCAGAATATAAAGTAATGATGATAATGAAGAATATTTGGTTAACTTGCACTAATTTTACTATACAAAAGATACAAGGGGGATTTTTTAATAATTTAAAAGAGATATCTGGGTGATTCTTAACTGAAGCATACATGAACATCTGATTTTGTACCGATCCATTATTTTATTATTAACATTGACTAAAACTTATCACAGAAGTATAAAGCCATATAAAGCTATAATCAAATCAGAATAATTGGAAAAAAGTCAATGTCCAGCAACAAAGAATTAGTAAAATGTATTAGGGTACTTCCACCCAAAGGAAAACAAAACAGACATTAAAGGTTACAATATACATTTATATGTATTAACAGGGGAATGTAAAAGTAACTAACATTTATTGTGCACTTATTATGTGTCAGGTACTAAAGTATTTTCGTATTTTCACACAGAGAGTACTGTACATAACTGTAATACCTGTAAGACTCAGTGAATTATGAGAAAGAGAACACACCCGTGTATCCACTACACATGTCAACGTACTGGTTCCCTTAGTGTCCCCTTTTATCACTAACCCTTCCTTCCTCTCCAAAGGCAGCCACTGCCCTGAATTCTAATGCTGTAAAGTAGTCTTGCCTGTTGTGAACTTGAGTTAAATGGAATCACACAGTAGTATGCCCTTTGTTTAATTTTGTTTCATTCCTGAGATTCATCCTTGCTGCCGTGTGTAATGTAGCTAATTATCCATGTTCACTGCTATATAGTATTTCATCATATACCACGGTCTCTGGACATTGGGGTTGTTAACAGTTTTTGACAATGATGAACAATACTTCCAGGACCATTCTTATATACATTTGCATGTTTTAACTCATGTAATCCTCAGAACACCTATAAGGTTTTAGTATTCACATTTTATAAAGGAAGAGACCAAGACACAAGGAGGTTAAGTGATAATAAATGGAGGAACCAGAATTCAAGCTTAGGCGGTCTGCTTCCAATGGCTAATAGTCTGCTATTAGCTGGTGCACTATATACTGTTTTCCATACAGAGTCAACAATAAAAAGTTGTGAATGATTATTCTTTGTTGAGAAGCAATACCTATTGTTGCTAAATGTAAGAAATGAAAGCAGATGAGGGAAACTGTAATAGGTACTATTTAAAACCATTGTTATCCTCATGGCACTTCTTTATACATTTCTGTACTTTTTACAGTATGTACACATTGCTTTAAAATTTAGAAAAAGGAATCATTTTTAACATATTTTGTAGAAATCAGAGTGAGGAGAATTAGAAAAATATTTTTTTAAAATGTTTGTTAATTTATTGTAATGGTCTACATCAAAAAGCAGGAACCACGAATCAAAAACTGTCTTAATTTTACAGGATCCACAGATTTTGGATATTAATGCTGACCAAGACAAAGTGAAGTCCATGTTGAATGACCTGCAAGCAGTTCTAGATGACCTTCAGAAACGCGCATTTCAATACAAATCTTATCAGAAAAACTTTAAGGTAATAACAACTCTTCATGTGTTTTTATTTTTTTTAATTTATTGTTATTGTTGAGAGTATTACAGACGTCCCCCATTTTCCCTCCTTTGCCCCCTCCCCCTGGTTTTCACCCTTCCTCCTCCCCAGTTCTTCCCCTGTCTGTTGTCTGTGTCCATGAGTTGTGCATATATGCTTATAAGTTCTTCGGTCAATCTCTTCCCACCTTCCTTCCCAGCTTTCCTCTGAGATCTGTCAGTCTGTTTCATGCTTCTATATCTGTGGTCCTATCTTGTTGGTCAATTTACTTTGTTCCTTAGATTCCACATAT